TATCTATCTACAGTTCTACTATCAGTTAAGACATAAACTACATCACAGTTCACTTCACAGTGCCCTTTCTCTGACACATCTGAGTATAGCATCTATGGTAGAGAACTGCTCCAAGCTGGAACATTTTGCCCCTTATTAACCATTTAATTGAATTAAATTAACCATTTAATTTTTCTTTCTCAGCAAAGAAAAATTAAAGGTAGCTGTCAAACAGAAGAATCATAGAGTTGGAAGAGATTTCGCCATGATTATGTACCAGTCAATATGGCAATCAAGATGTTTGAAATCTAAAGACTTCTCAGAAATTTCAGCTATTAAAAGAATAAGATGGATGACTAGCACTACCTGCAGGAACATATTTCACCAAGAAAAAAACTCCAGTGGCTTCCTCTTTGTTTTTGGACACAAATTCAAAGTGCTGGTTTTAATTTTTAAAGTACTATATGCCTTGGGACCTGAATACCTGGAAAACTATCTTTTCCCATATGAAGAGTGTTAAGATTGTCTTCAGATGCCTTTTTCTGAGTGGCAATTTCAGAAGTGAATTGTGATGCAGTTTATGTGGCAACTCAGAAAAGCAGAGCTTGGAGAAGCTACTTTTTTTTGACCAAACTGGTTGGGAGATTCTGGCAGCTGTAGTCCAACTAAATACATACCGCAAGCTTTGATGGTGGGTGGATGTCTTTTCAATGGTGGATTCTGGTTATGTAATGCCCACTCCAAAAACCACTGTTGCCTTTATTGTTAAGTTCCAGGTGCCAGTTTAATTGCCTGAGAAGGGACTAAAATATACCTTAAAGATATGATCAGCAACACCAAGCATGGGGCAGAGGAGAGAAAGAAAATGGAATTGTTCTCAGTTATAAAATATATGGAGAGGCTTAAGCCTCCCATCACCACCCCAGGGACAATATCTGTGAACAGCCTTCCTATGAAAACATTCACATTAAAAACAATGCATGAATGGTTGATGCTAATACCATGCAAAAAAAGCAATTTGATAATTTTCACCATTCTCCACTTGTTGCATTCCTCAGAACAGTCACTCATCTGTTTCACTTAGTATTTTATTTAAACAACAACAACATTACCAATCACATTACCAATCACATTGTCAACACAAATTCTACTTATGCTGACCCTATGAATGTCACACCTCACAGCCTTGCCCAAGTCTTGTGAACTCAGGGCTGTGGCTCATTTATTCAATTGAGTCCACTCTCTTTTTCTGCTGCCTTCCACTGCACTGAGCATTGCCATCTTTTTCAGTAAGCCATGTGGTCTCATGACATGTCCAAAGTACAACAGCTTCACCCATTGGGATCCCATGACTGACTGGGGATTTGAACCCTGGTGCCCCACAGTCTTAGTCCAGCAATCAGATTACTACACCACACTGGCTCATCCAGCATTGAAACCAATGACAATGGAGACAGGAGGGATTACCGCATTTTCCGGTGTATAAGACGACTGGGCGTATAAGACGACCCCCCACTTTTCCAGTTAAAATATAGAGTTTGGGAAGAGTATGATTTCCAAAACTGTTGTTGTTGCTGTGCACCTTCAAGTCATTTCCAACTGATGATGACACTAAGGCAAACCTATCATGAACCTCCTTATACCCGGCGTATAAGACGACCCCCCCCACTTTAACCCCAGATTTTGCAGGTTAAAAAGTAGTCTTATATGCCAGAAAATAAGGTACCTATATCAACTGTCTGGGGAAAAGAGTAAAGAGATCTGGACCCAATGCACTGACAGCCTGGTGGAAATACTACTAGCAGTAGATTTATTTATAAAGCCTTGGAGCTTTCTGTGGACAGGTTCAGATGCAAAGCCAGTGGAGCTCTTCCCCACAAGCAAAAGGGCACTTCTGACATTTTAACACTGTGAGGACAGCTGTTCAAAGGGACTTATTTTTTAATTATTTTCATTGTATATCACTTGGGCACCCCCTACCCCAGTTTATACTCGAAAAGCTTTTAAAACAAAATGAAACAGAATCCTTTCTCAACAGCACTACATACTCTCACCTGTAATAACAGAAGTACAGCTAACACTTTAATAAGGGGTGGTGCCATGATTGTGAATTATATATAAAGGTGAATATTAAATATCACCATATTTAATACTAATTCCAATGTGGCACATGTACAACTATGTACAACTGACATTCTCTACACGATTAACTTTTCTAATTTTCTAATTTACTTTTCTTACTTTTTTACTTAATATTAAAAACTTTGATAGTAATTATTTTTTAAAAAATTCCATGTGCTATCAACATTAGTATAGTTTCTTTGCTGTGACCTCTAATTGTGAGTAATCATAACAATGTCAGTCAGTTAAAAGCTTGAGTGGAATGACCAAATAATTATGAAACTAGACCCATATGGTCATAAAGAAGTCAAGCTGGTAATCATTTGTCATGGTTCGCTAAAGCAAGCAGTAACTATGGTTATTGCCTGATAAAAGCGGTAAAGACCACATCAAAATCACCACCGATTGCCTTCCAGACTATTGCTTTGTGATGAATGCCCTCCAGCCAGGGACTGAATTCTTCAGCTGTCACACGCTACCCACTCACAACTTTATACACTTGGTCAATATGCTCCAAGTTGTATTGCTTTGTATAATTCCAAGCAAGCTGTTTTCCTTCAGTGGCCATTTGGAATTCAGCCAGTCTATATATCAAAATCTTCCTCTTAGAAAGAGAGATACAGAAAGTACTGTGGAAATAATTACAGAGCCTAAATTCTTAGAAAACAAAACAAGTAAGTTAAATATCATCTTTATACTAAACAGAGGATGTCACCATCAGGGGAAAAACTGTCTACTTTGTGCTGAATTATATCTTTGATTAAAGAGTCATTAGAAACAAGAAAAAGACATCACTGCAATTTCTAATAGATACAGATAGCCAAACAACTAAGCCAGAGCATTTATTGGTTGTAAAACAGCAGGTTTAAATTGCCTCATATATCACTGTCTGAATTCAATCCAAAAGGTTTACGGTGAACATGGAAACCTAAAAATGAGTCCAATACTATACAATCCAAGATCTAGTCCCTCGCCCATACCCTGTGCATGAGAGAAATCACTTCTGAACATTAGTGGGGCAGTCTGATTCAAACTTCCACCTCCACTCCCTTGCACCACATTCAATTCCACACCAGAGAAAATTCCACCTTAACAATTCCACTTTGTATGGCTCTTTCAAGCCTTAGAAATAGTACCTACTATACATGCCTGTCCCAATCAAAGGATGCAAAACATGAAGACTTCTTGAAAAATTCAGCGTTCTCTACCTGCATAGGAGCCTGAGACGTCACCAAGGAAAGAGACATGCTGGATCCCAAGGAAACATCTTTGGATTGCATTTGTGCATTTTGGTTGGCCCAATAAACGGATCATTGTTTGGATGTTTTTGGATTTGCCAATCAAAGGACGTTAGTCATATTGAAAGTAATGGAACATAGGTTGGTCATAGATTGGTAGCTTGCCCTACTGATTTCATTGGGATTTAAGCAGTATCACTTTTTTTGGATCAGGATCACTCACTATAACAAGCGATGTATCTAAATTTAAATGCAGTTAGCATGTGTGCTATCAAAACAGAGGTAATGAGACATACACTATTGTAGGCTGACCAAGGCTACCTAAGACCATAGTAGCAAAGGACACCCTTCCCTCTGTCAAAGGGGACAGAAGCAAAAGCAGAGGCAAATTTTAGAAGCTGGAAGAAAATTCCACAAGCACCTCTCTTTCTCTCTCTAGCTAGCAATAAAAATAGGAACTAACCATTTGCTGCCCATTCATGATATCCAAAATCATCCCACAAAGGTGGTCATGACACTTTGCGTAGAAGTATGGTTTGTACTGAGGCTGATCAGTGACTTCAGTGATATGTTGAATTTAACAGGAAAGCTACATTTTTAATGTATGTTGCAGCACTTTGCAGCTAGATTACACTCATTCCCATCCTTTTATTTTCAAAAGGTTTTTTTTCTGAAAGCATTATAGTCATTTGCAGTTCAGTCTGTACATGTGTGTACACACATTAGGCATACAAGCTTGCATAGAACTGAAGCTAGGGATATAATCTCTATTTCTAGCACTGAAACTGTTGAGTCTGAGAGCTGAGTGATTAACATATGCATGTGCCTCATTCTGTAGTGCATAATTTGATAGCCTCAAATTACATGTGTTCAAACTCTTCTTTGGCTCAAATCACAATCAAACAAAAATAAAAACAAAACAAAAGCAAACATATTTTCCCATAGTTCTAAACTGGTGCATGCATGTGTATGTATGCTTGCAAAAGAGAGGGAATCCACACAAACATTCTCACTGATGCTTGAGCAGGGGGCATGAGAAGAAGGCTATATGTTGCCTAGGCAACTATGAAATGCTCTTTTTTCCTTATCCGTACAACAAACTACCCTGCATCAAATGGCTTTTGGTACATGTTTCATATTACAAGGCTGAGATTTCATCAGAAAACAAAAAAACAAAAAACTGCCAAAGCCAGAAAAAGGTCCCATGTGGCTCCTATAATAGTCTCCCCATGTGCCCAATTCCAGTAAGTGATAGTGGAAGATGGTGATCATCCTCGTATATCAAGTCAGGCCATCGATCCATCTAGCTCAGTGTAATATGCATTGCCTGAACTGGCTGACAATGTTTCAGATAGGAGTCTTACAGGGTTGCATTTCAGGATCGTTCCAAGCCCTGAGGTTTCTGGATCAAAACCTGAGATTGGGAATAGATGTCATTCATTGTTATGCAATAAGTACCAAGCACAGTTGCTCACAGCTTGTCACTCAAACACATATTGTTGTCTGTTGCCGTGTGCCTTCAAGTCATTTTTAACTTATGGTAACCCTAAGGCGAACCTATCATGGGGTTTTCTTGGCCAGATTTCTTCAGAGGAGGTTTGCCATTGCCTTTCCCTCAGGCTGAGAGGATGTGACTTGCCCAAGGTCACGCAGTGGGTTTCATGGCTGAGCTGGGAATCGAACCCTGATCTCCAGGGTCATAGTCCAACACTCAAACCAATATGCCACATATACAGAAAATATATTATCCTGTTTGGAAATTAAGACAGAATTTTTAGCAAATGGGGCTGTTTCAAGATCAAGGTAAAATTAGGGGATTTATTCCTTTTTACTTTCTTAGGGAGATGGGATAAGAAACATTTGATTCAACCTACTTGCTTTTAGCCAGAAGGTGGTGCAAAACCGAGTGCCGGTTCAGCTCAGTCACTACAGTGACCGGAAGAGAAGGAAGAAGCTAACTAATCTCACTATCTTCTTCAGTTTACTCTGTTTCCAAGGATAACATGGGGAGCATACCAA